GGGAAATCCTCCTCCCCGCCCCGGCGCCTCTCCCATCTCCACGGCAACGGGAGAGCAAACAAGATGGCGGCGGCCGGTTCTGAGGGGTGAAGGGGTTTGGGGTGTGAAGCAGCCGTAACTTCAGCTCCCGCCGCGTCCCCCTGCGTGCTACAGCCCATGGCAGAGGCCAGCGGGGGAGAGGGCAGCCTCGGGGAGCTGGTTCCCCCTTCTGACGGGCCTCCGCAGAGCCTCTCGCAGGGGTTCCCCGGGGAGCTGCCTCCTGAGGGGAGCAGGCCAGAGCAGTCAGACCCCGGCCTTCCTCCCGGAGAGGAGGAAGAAGAGGACGAGGACGAAGACGAAGACGAAGAAGAGGAGCCACAGGAAGCAGAGGTTCAGCTCAGTGCCCCCAAGCTGTTTTGGGGAGGGTTGTGCTTGTGAGGGAGCAGCCCTTTGTCTCCTTTTCACTCCTTGTAGTTGTGGGCGGGGAAAGAAAGAGGGAGTCGATGGGGGCACCAGGTAGTGGTTACTCAAAGAGAGGAAAGGCTGGTTTAGTCCGTTTCCCCTCACCTCTCATTTCTGCCTTTTCTTGGGGTCCCTTTCATCCCCCCAGTGTCCAGGATAGGTCTGGGTTGCACCTCTCTCTCCTTGCTATATCAAGACGAGAGATAAGCTGGCACATGGATGACCAAATTAAACCTCTTCCCTGTATATATGGGATGCAATAAGCCCCTGGGCCCAAGTGGATTTTTAATCCCTGCTCCCCTGGGCTCCAAAGTGTATTGTTACCTAGTGGAAATGCATCTGTAGTCTCTGTTGCTCTAACATGTAGGTGCTGTCATTTAGATGATTACCATTTGAGCCATTATTTATCTTGGTCCCTTGATTAGCAGTTGTTGTGTGACTTCTCCAAGCTTATAGGAATTTCACAAGCCATTGGCTGATTTTCTCATTAAACCTGCACAGTGGTTCATTAGTGCCATCTGTCAAGCACCCTCTTTGGCAAAGATTGTCCTCAGAAGAGCAGGGTGAGCTGCTCATGCTGAACAAATGCAAAGGGCCTGCAATAATATGCATATTGGGGTACAACACGGGGGTTATGTTAGTTCTGATTGATTATTTATGTTAACATCTCAGGAAATGGGAGTTTTATGGCTCAACATCTCTGGAAATGGGTCCTGTTTAGAGCTGTGCATTTAAGCCAGAAGGTAAAAATAAATACAAATCCCAGCAAATACTGGTTGAACATTTTAAATGTATAGAGGTAGTACATTCCATGTTCATATTTAACTGTTTTGATGGCTGTATTAATCATTTTCCCTAATGGGCAGTGGCTTATTAGACACTGAAATCAGTGTTTGATTGAGGACTTTTAGTAAACTCTGTTCCCAGTTACATCCCAAGCATTTCCCCAGGTTCTATTGAGTGTGGAATTTCACTTCATAAATCTCCCCTTAATCCATTCCTCCCCGTGAGCCACTTTCTGGTATTTTTTTAGGGTGAGTTTGATGGGGTGTTGGATGAGGACACTGTGGCTGAGGGACTCCACGAGCTGGGCCACTCAGCCTCTGGTGTCGGATACGTTTATCTTAATCTGGCTCTTCCTGTAAGTACAAGCACAGAACATCAGTGCAAAGTGCTTCTCTGCTTAGAGCTTTCCTCTTTTAAACAGCAAATAGCTGGTCTAGTAAAAAAAACCCAACAACTTAAATTCAGGAGGCAGCTTTTTACTTCTACCTGTCAGTGTCATTTCATGGACATGGGACTTTTGACAAGACACATCTGGGTCCTGCTGACAAATGCCATATTGCTGTTGGGTTGGGGTTTTTTTTCACTTAGTAGCAACAGCAGGAAGATTTTTTCGTATCCAGTCTTTGCTTGTGAAAATGTATCTTCCTGCTTCAGTCAGCTGGAGTAAAAAATATAATCGAGGAACATGTTAAATATCTGAGAATGGGGCTTTCAGTGTCCCTTCAGGAAGTTAAAATGGTTGTGTCTTTTTAAATATTTCCTGCTGTTGCTCCCTTTTCTATGCACCCTGGTTTTCCTGGCATTTTTCCTAACTCCAGCTATCTCTGCTGGTTGTGTTTTAATGTCTTCTTTTGACATTTTCTCCATTCGTGGCTTGTCTGCAGGTCTGACATCACTTTCTGTACATGTCATCCTGTTCTGACACATCCAACTGGAGGGATGTTGGGGCAGCTTTTCAATGTCTCCTGCTGTTGTGTGTCTCTTGGGAGAGCTGCTGAGGTTATACAGCTTGTTATTAAAGTCTTTCTTTTTCCAGGGTCGTGAGTTAAGTGACATTAACATTCTCTCCAGATACATTCACCTACAGAAGCTGGAACTTTCACATAATAAAATTAATGGTATGTAGGAAATACACCAGTAAATTCTTGGGTTGTGAAATCATTGAAGATGAGAAATGCACTGAACCATGGAGCTTTAATATCACAAAGCCTGGGCTAAATTTTAATGGTGTAACTGCTCCAGCTCTACAGGCTGAGTTCTTCTGGGGAAAGATGTATGAACCACTCAGACATCTGCACCAGCATGTGCTTATCAGCAGGTACATGCAGATGGATGTCCAGTTTATTAATCAAAAATAAAATTTAAGCAAGCATGTCAACACAAGGTTAAGGCTGAGATTTTACACATGCAGATGTCATATTTAAAGTTGTGCCTGGTCCAGTTTTCCCAGCCTTGGGCTTTCCTTTAGCAAGGTTTCCCATTGGTGAAAAAATGTAAAAAATGATGCCCTGGTTTTACAAGGTAAGTGTTGGTAAGGAGAGGACAAGGGGGAATGGATTTAAACTGGAAGAGGGAAGGTTGAGGTTAGACATTAGGAAGAAATTCTTTGCTGTGAGGGTGGGAAGACCCTGGCCCAGGTTGCCCAGGGAAGCTGTGGCTGCCCCATCCCTGGCAGTGTTGAAGGGCAGGTTGGATGGGGCTTGGAGCAGCCTGGGATGGTGGGAGGTGTCCCTGCCCATTCAGGGGGATGGAACTGGATGATCTTTGAGGTCCCTTCCAACCCAAACCACTCTGTTGTTCCATGACTGGGCTAAATTCCATCATCTCCTCCTCCTTCCCTCATTTTTTCATTTAGCAGCAAAAGGAATAAGCTCTCCTGGCAGTCTCTTGTATTATTTCCTTCAAGTTCTTTTCACTTGAGGTGCTGGAGTCCAATAATAGCAGCAGTTTTGTAAGGCAGCCCTTCTCTGTGCTCATTTTACTCACAGTTTGTCTGTGAAGGTGAGGTCTGAACAGGGCAGGGGCTTTTCCATAGCAACGAGTCATTTAGTAGTGGCCTAAATACTTTTCTCCCCTAATTGATAACTTAGGACAGAGGGTTTGTTCTCTGTTATTCTAAAGGTAGCTAGGGCATAAAAAAAATTTGTAGCTTTTAGGCAAATTAGTTGACAAATTAGGCAATTTAATGTAGAATTTGAATATTCATTCATCATGGTTTCAAAACCATCTTTTTATTTTTCTTCTAATAAAAGGATATATCTGATTTCTGAATTTCAAACCTGCAAATTGGTGCTTGATTGCTACTGGACCTAATGATCACATTTTGACTTGATGATCTCTGCATCTACTTGGGCATTCACGTGCAGGGTTTGCCATTTTGTTTTGTTACCAGATCTTTCTTGTATCAGTCACATGCCTCACTTACTGGAACTGAATGCTTCCAACAATGAGTTAACTACATATTTTGCTTTTAAACCACCTACAAGTCTCAAGGTAAGTTGCAAAAAAATATAATAAAAAATCCATTTATTGCTTTAAATTCAAAAGGCTTTTCTAAATCTCATTTGGACACATTCAGAGGTGATTTTTTTATGCCTTCCTTATTATTCTTTCTTACCTCATTTCACATTTTAACAGCTTCTCCAAATGTCTGGGTGTTTTACAAAGGATATTTCAGGCTTTTATTTTCTTTCCCACTCTGAGCCCTGGCATGCCATGGGAAGGTGTATTGCCCAGCTAGCTCTTCTAGTTAAAGGTAAATATAGCCAGGATGTTTTCCTTGCTTGTTAAATTCCTCAGCCCCTTAAGTGGGAACAATTCCAGCCTTTCAAATTCACTGGTTCTTGTAAAACATGTACTTGGGGTGTACCTGTGTGCAAATCTTCTCTTTGCTGTTGTTTTCTTTTTGCCCACTTTGGATTATAAGGAGCAGGAGGTTGTTTTTAATATATCACGTATTTCCCTGTTAGATTTTTTGATATGTATATATAATTACAGGACTATTAATGTTGTTGGAAGAAAGCAGAGTTTTGAAAGTTCCCAAAATGTGAATTCTGTGTCTATCATAAAAAAGAGCTTTTCTGTTTATGTCCCAGTGTTAATATTGATGATCATCTCATTTCTTCCACACCCTTGAGCACAAGTTTAATGTAACAGCCATTTGGTTTCACAAGACAAGCTGGGAAAAAATAATAATTTAACTTTCTGTCTCTTTTTTCTCCTTTAGGAAGTAGATTTTTCACACAATGAAATACCTCAAATGCAAGATTTGTCAGCATATCAGTCCCTTACCAAACTCCTGCTGGATTGTATCCTTTATGGAAACTTGAATGGGGGAAAAGTGGCTTGTTTGCTTTCTGAGCAGCTGTTGGTTTCAAATAGATACCTGTTGTCTTTGTGTTTTTTTTGCTTTCTTGTCACTTTTGTCTTTAGAAGCAGGATTAAATACTCCTTCTGGTTGTGAAGCTGAGCTTAGTTTACTTAAGCATGCCTGGTGGGAAAGGTGTTTGTGTGTACATGGCAGGTATTAGCCTGCTAGAGGAGCACAAAAACCCCTCCACTTTGCAGCATGTAGAAGAAGTGACATGTCACACTGTCTTTGCATGGCAGAGGTAAGAACTAATCCCAATGTTTTTATTGAAGCAGAATATACAAGTGCAGAATTTAGATGAGCCCTGTTCCTAACTCCCTGCACTCCCAGGTTAATAGAAAACAGCTTGGAATACTAAGCTCCCTTTACTGGGAAAAAAAAAGGTGCATGTTGTTTCATCTCAGACATAATTATGCAGGGAGAGGCTTTGTGAAGGATGAGGCCATTTCATGACAATTAAGAGAGTTGAAGTGAGAGCAAACTTCCTGGAGGATGCAGAAGGAAGCACAAAGTTTTCCCCACCTTCCACCCTCTCACTGGAGAATTAGAAGCACTGTTCTGCCAGGAAACAGATCAATATGAACCTTCAGAATAAGTTTCTTCATTGCTTCCTTCTCCAAGGCTGTCCACAGCACTTTTAGTCTCCCTGAAGATTCTCCTCTGCTTCTCTGAAAGGTCTGCAGTTTCATGCTGCCTTACAATTGCTTCCTGAGGGCTCCTCAACCTTTCCTCTTTGCCTCAGAAATTGCATCTTGGATTTTCTGCTCTCTGAAAAAGAGAGACAAGCTGCAGGGTTTTTTTTCCCCACTGTCTCTTGTCCTCTAAGTAGCCCATTACCAAACTGTATTAATACAATGCCTTTTTGTCCTGTAGGAGCAGATAAAGCATTTGCAGGGTGTCCAGGTCACCTCATTCACACATTTTACAAGGTGTGCAGGTGACAAGATTCTTGTCAGAAAATGGCATTGAGGCACCGTCCCCTTTTGCAAGTCTAATTTGCCCTCTCAGAGCCAAAAAAAAACCTACAGCAAAATGCAAAGGGGAAAAAAAATTAAAAAGATCAGAGACTTGTGAATCTGAGTCCCTATTTTTTTAATCTGCTTTCAGTTCAACCCTCAATTTCTCCATTTGTCAATGAAGGCACCATTGAAAGGGGGAGAAAAACTGTTGCATGCATGAAGCTGCGGGTGGACCCTCTGAAAGAGAGGATAATGGGTGCAGGATTCAGAATTCAGATTAGCCCTGCTCCTAACTCCTTGCACTCCCAGCTCCCAAGCACTATTTGCTGAAGAAATGGCAGACAATGGGCAGCACTTGGGCTGCAGCAACCCCAGGCAACACTCCAGGCTTGGAGCAGTGTGGCTGGAAAGTGTCTGGCAGAAAAGAACCTGGGGGTCCTGACTGAGAGGTGGATGAACATGAGCCAGCAATGAGCCCAGGTGGCCAAGGAAGCCAGTAGCATCCTGGCTTGTATCAGAAATAGTGTGAAGAGCAGAAGCAGAGAGGTGATTGTTCCCCTGTGCTCAGCACTGGGGAGGCCACACCTGGAGTCTTGGATCCAGTTTTGGGCACCTCAATTCCAGAGAGATCTCGAGGTGCTGGAGCAAGGACAGAGGAGGCAACGAAGCTGGGGAAGGGCCTGGAGAATCAATCTGAGGAAGAACACTTGAAGGAGCTGGGAATGTTTAGTGGGAGGAAGAGGAGGCTGAGGGGAGATCTCATCAGTCTCTGCAACCACCTGAAAGGTCATTGTAGAGAGGTTGGTGCTGGTCTCTTCTCACAGGTAATTAGTGACAGAACAAGAGGGGAAGGGCTTCAAGCTGCAACAGGGGAGGTTTAGACTGGACATTAGGAACAATTTCTTCAGAGAGAGTGGTCAGACCCTGGAACAGGCTGCCCAGGGAGGTGGTGGAGTCACCATCCCTGGATGTGTTGAAGGGTGGTTTGGATGTGGTGCTGGTGGATGTGGTTTAGGGGAGAACTCTGTAGAGTAGGGATGATGGTTGGACTGGGTGATTCCAAGGGGCTTTACCAACCTGAATAGCTCTGTGATTCTATGACAAAACAAGCTATTCTTTATAATCATAAATTAAGCTACTTTTTTCAATATCATGCAGTAGCAGAAATGTTTGGCAGGCATTTCTTGTTGACAGGAGCTAAGCATTTCTTACCATATTTAAGTGAATTATGATGCAGATGGTAAGGTCACTGTAACTTTTTTTCCTGACAGGTGCACACACAAGCACACCTGACAGGTTTATAAATGAGTTTTCCAGGAGTGAACTGCCCAAACCAGAAAGGGAGACAACTTGGACAGTAATTGACAAAGCATTATAATTAATCACTAAAGGACTAAACCATTGTATTAGTTGCTAGTGCTGAGCAATTTGTTGCCTCATGTTGGTGCTTTATGGCTTCAACAGCATTTTTTCCTCTCCAAAACTCTTCCTCCTCAATTGAAAGAGAAGGACTCTCTGCATTTTGTATGCAAGTCAATTAATACCTGTCAAATATCAGGATGCCTGTGGATGGGCTTGGTTTGTTTTCTGAAATGACAGAGACAGCCTAGTGTGAGGTCCTAGGAAAAGATGACTCTGTTTCCTAGCTCATTTCTCCTCCTCTCCTTCCCCATCCAGGCCTGGAATGTAGAACTCGGGTCCAATGAAGTCCCTGTGTAGAAATGCAGTTTGGAAAAACCAGAGTTAGGTCACAGTTATTGAAGATTATTCTGTTATCCCTGGCTAAGCTTACATTTTGTTTTGGTACAATATCATTCAGGCTGAGAAAAAAAACCTGACCATTTGTCCACTGCCTGCTGAGACTAGAAATGTGAATGAAAACTCACTTGCCCTTGTTTGCAGGCAGAGTTAATTCTCTTGATCAATTAAAAGTGCTTTCTTCTGTGATTGCCTAAAGGCATTTCCCTGTGTCCTGCATGTTCTGGCTACTTTTTTTTTTCAGTTATATTTCTTGGGCTTTTATAAAACTAGTTCCAGCTTGGACACTTACAATGTGAGTACAATTTTGCTTGCCTGACTTGCCAAACAATTAGGTGCCTGGGTCAGAGTGACCTGCTTTTGGTGAAGTGGGGAGATGGAGAGTCAGGTACCTCTGCAGTTCATCCCATTGTAAGAGAGCAAGCTGAGATAACTTGTTGCCAATGGTTACATGATTTGTTTAAGCAATATGGGTAGTTATGTTAATGCTGAAGTTTGCTGAGAGGAATCCTAACCCCTTTTACTGCTGCTTTTGAGTTTAATGTTAATTTAAAATGGACTTTCTCCTTTCAGTACAGATGGCCAGTATAGAGCAGGTATGATTTGGGGTGAAATAGCCCCATATAGCACTAGCATTGGTATTACTTGGATAATTTTTGTATGATGCTTGGAGGTCAAGGCCAGTTTGGAGCCATATTAAGTACTTTGAAGACATAAAAAGGTCAAACCTTCCTCTGATGACTCAACCACAGGCCTGCATTCTACAGCTGACCTAACAGTGAAAGTCAGAGACATGAAGACCCCTGTGTTTTAGCTTTCACTCATCGAGGAGACCAGAGATTGCCAGCATAGTTTTGCAAGGTGCTGGCAGAAGTATTTTCTTCCCCACCCTCCTGTTCCCTCATTTTCTCTACTTCCCTGATTTGCCATCAGCCTAGTTATGCCAGCTTGAAGAACTTCCCCTGTAAACCAGGTCCCAGGAACAATCTGAGTGAAAAGAGCCTCTGAAAATGAGGGGAGGATATTTCTAGCTGGGTCAGTGTGGCTTGTCCTGCAGCCCCACAAAAAGCTTGGTCAGTCAAACGAGGAGGCAGTAAATTCCAGAACAGGGCCAGGTGTGAGCAGCTGGGATTTGAAACCCCTTAGCATGAAGTATTTGATGCCCAACTCCCCATGGCATAAAACTCAGCTCCATTGGCTTATTTAGCTATTAATTATTGCCAAGGTTTTGTGTTCAGTTATTTTCCTTAAATGCAAAACCTTCTGTATAGTTAATAACATAGAGGAGATAAGAGGACTGGAGAAGTGTCACAGTCTGACTCACCTGAGTTTGTCACACAACAGACTCATTGCGATCAGTGGCCTGGAGAATTTACCTATCAAAATCCTAAACCTGGTAAGAAATAAAAGAATTCTAGTCATTTTCCTGTCTGTCTTTTATCAATCTATTAGTGCCTTAATAAATGTAAAGGTAGTGACAGAAATTTTCAGAGATATGTTAATACTTTCACAAGGGCTTGTAGCAATTGGGCAGGGGAAATGGTTTTATACTGGAAGAGGGGAGATTTGGGTTTGACATTAGGAAGAAATTCTTCAGTGTGAGGGTGGGGAGACCCTGGCCCAGGTTGCCCAGAGAAGCTGTGGCTGCTCCATCCCTGGCAGTGTTGAAGGGCAGGTTGGATGGGGCTTGGAGCAGCCTGGAATGGTGGGAGGTGTCCCTGCCCATGGCAAAGGGATGGAAGTAGATGATCTTGAAGGTCCCTTCCAACCCAAACCATTCTGTGATTCTATAATCTTGAAAAGATTTAGAAGAAATTGCTGGTATTATTAAGGATATTTCATAAACATGGAACTGAGGAACACTGAGATAAATGCCTTCCCAAGACCTGGACAAGAGAAAGATGCATGTAAAGAAAGTGTAGGTCTATTATCTGGCCTAGTTGTCCTTGCTTATCTTCATAACCATCAGAGAGAAGAAGACACTTCTAAGGCCTGATGCACCTTGTGTTGATGTGTTGTCTACACTGCAGAAATCTGAAGCCAGATAAAACAAATCCCATGACACCCTCTAGAGTGCACAGGAAAAAAAAAAAAGCAAAAGCTGTTTTTAATACCATTAAGCTGCTACAAAATACAACAGGCTACTTTTTCATACCTTTTACTTGGTAATCATCATTTTAAAGCTATTTCATGGGATTTTAGAAAGGAGTACCAAAAAAACTATCCACAGAAATATGCTCATATTTGCCACATTAGTTTTAAGCACCTACATCAATATTTTAGTGAAAGTGAATTAATTCCTTATCAAAAATAGAAATATTCTTTTCCAATCTTTTTAAAATTTTAAAGATTTTTCTTCTGTTCTCTAGTAATTGGTTTAGAAAAGACTAACTAAGGTCTGTACCCATCAAGGCCTGATTGGCCCTTGTACTTATTACTGCTTTGCTATTCAGGAAATATATTCATGTTTCAAAGTGGACAGTAGCATGTTTTGAATAATATATTCCAATAGTGTTCAGGAACATATTTTTAATATGTTTCATATCTCTAATGCCTCCAGTAGCTTCCAGTTATGCCCTTGGTGGCAATAAATCTGAATTTTTGTCTCATTTGTAGTGGATAAGATTAACTCAGATGGGCAAACTCCTGTCTGAAAGTTCTGAAATGAGCTCTAGGAGTGTAACAGTCTAAGCTGGCAGGAAGATCTTTTCTCCAAGTGTCCCTCCATCATTGCACTCATCTCCTCATCTGTTAAAAGGCCTAATAATAATTCTGTTAGTAATGGTTATCTGCTCTCTACAATGTTTTGGAGGTTATGTTAACAGCTAAGCCTTATTAGTGTGAACATGTTCTTCAGCTTTGGTTCTTACATGCTGATATGATTATTTATACAACTGCTTGTCTTTTTTAATTAGCAAAGGAGATAGTCATGTGGAAATTATGTAAATAGACAGATTTTAGCATGGCTTTTTTTTTTTTTTTTCATTTTACTAATTAGAATAAAATGCAGTTCTTTTTTTCATGGGAGCTGTCATCCCCTCTCTTCCCATGGAATCAGCTTTCTTTGCCATTTTTCCTGGAGCCTTTCAGGTTGAAAGAATACTAAGGTCTGAAGCTGGGAAGAAAGGCTTCAAAACCTGGAAATATTGCCTGGCTATACCCAAAAGCCTTTATTCTGCTAATGTTTGTATTGTATTTTTTTTTTTAAGTAAATAAGAGGTGCAACACTAAAGAACTGGACTCTTAGGAATTTTAGGCTTTGCAAGAAAAAAGGTTCTCTACACAAATCCCTTTTGTTCACAGAATTTCAAGTGCATCTCCTGTCTTAACATTTTGCATCTAGAGCTCTGTGCTCTATCCTATTAAACAGAGGTCTAACCAAGAGCAGGAAGAGAGGAGTCTCTGTGCTATTAATAACATAATTAAACATTTAAAAGTCAGGAAAAATGTCAAGGACAGACAACTGGATTAACATTAAAGTCAGCTGGCTTATTTATCTCAATAGTTCCTAAATATTTATTAATAGAATATGAGGCTTCTAAGCTTTCAGCACAAGGTGATGCTGATGGAAAGTGTAACTTGCAAGGTTATACAGAAAGGATCATGTTGAGAGGCCATCTGGGTGTGTGTGGCCAGTGGGACAAAAATCAGTGCAGAACCTTGCATGTTACACTTTTTTGGAGTTGACAGCAGCAACAAGGGTATGATTTGTGAGGAGCTGAGAAATGAAGCCATCTGGTGTCCAGCAGGAAATGTAGGTCTTCTCTCTTGTACCTTGCTTGGAAGGAATGTAAAACAACAATAGCTGGCTGTGACTTCTCTAAAGCTTGGGTCATTTCTTGTCTTAAGAGTTACAGAATCCTAGAATGCCAGGTTGGAAGGGACTTCAAGGACCATCTGGTCCAACCCCTCTAGGTACTACTCTAGTTGATCTGAGGTGGCTCAGCACCCTGTCCAGCTGAGACTTCAAACTGTCCCATGTGGGGGAATCCACCACTTCCCTTGGGAGACTGTTCCAGTGTTGGACTGTCCTCATGGGGAAAAATTTCCCTCTGGAGTCCAATTGGAATCTCCCCAGGAGCAACTTGTGCCCATCACCCCTGGTTTTTTCCACCTTGTCAATAGGGAGACTCCACAAGTCTGGGAGTCTAGACAGGTAAGGTGGGCTTGGTTTTTGGTTTGGTTTCTTTTCTAACATTTCTGTGTATGCTTTCCCTGGCATGATATCAAGTCTGCCCTCACTTGGTGTGCATCAGGATGGACTTGTGTATATTTTTGTAGGCTGCCTGTAGTTCAAAGACAACACTTGTGTTGTTCCACCTTCATGTTTTCATTATTTATTCTGTAATCATAAGTGTAAATATAGCCATGATAACAGAGGGAAATTCCATGCATTTATGTGTAGATATTCTCTCCTTTTATGTGCATATCTATTTTCTACATGTTGAGTTGGATGGTGACATGAGTGTCCTTTAGCCTCCACCTGAAGATGAAGATGGAGCTAATGTAGGAAAGTCCCATTTGTAATAGAATTCTCAGTCATCAAGTGAACTTGGTTCTTCCTCAGGAATGTTGTTTTCCATCTGTAGAACTTTACCAACTGATTATATGCTTTCATTTCTTCTTAGAGCTCTAACCAGATTGAGAAGATAACAGGCTTGGACAACTTGAAAACTCTACAGAACCTGGACCTATCTAGAAATAAAATAACTAGCCTAAGAGGCTTGGAGGAACATGATCTACTAGAGGTGATCAACCTAGAGAATAACCAGGTATCATACTTAATATTGATCTTGGCTTTTGCTAAGAATGCATTATCATTATTTATTTATTTATTTATTTATTTTTTATTTTATTTTATTTTTTTAATTTTTTTCTGAAATTCAATCTCTTTAAGATTTAATTAAAAAATCCTACAACACTGCAAGAAATTCATGTTAGAAAAGATGACATTTTTTCCTCTGGTGTTTCTCTCCAGTGCTGTTTCACACCTTGATAACTGTGCTCCTCAGGCCTTATTTACTATCTCTAGATGGGTTTATTTTTATGGAGTGATCACTTGTGTGGTATTTAGTGCTCACATACATAAAGAACCAGCAGTGCTCCCTTGAGTGGATAGGATCAGCATGAGGCTTTTTCAGCTTGAGTATCCTTGAGGATCTTTACTTACATCCCAGCTTTTCTACTCTCAGGCCTCAGGAGGCTTTGCTAATATCTCCCAGCTCAGTTTTATGACCACAGATTCTTCAGAGCTCATCTGGAAACTTCCTGCAAGGCAGAACTGCATATGCTCTATTATAAAGTGCCTTTTCTTGTGCAGCAGAAAATCTACTGGAAGATACAATCCAGTTCATTTGTATTTGAATTTTGAGACTCAAGCCATATATACATAATACTTTTGATGCTGAGCTTTCAGGGTCCTTAACCAAAATGACCATCAATTCATGATTTTGACATCAAAGACAGATCTGCTTGTGAACAAAAATCATCTAAGAAAAGAAGAAATAGAAATAGAAACCAGGAATTGAACATTTTCTGTTATTTTTCTCCACTGGCAAGACACATTTACAGGATTTCATTCAAAACACTATGAATTGTTTTTCTCTCACTCTGTTCAGGTTGACATTTAAAGGTACATCAACTGCACAAGACAGGAAACTAATTAATAGTAGGGTTGCTATTAGCATTAATAACACCACTTCCATTGCCTCACATAGTATCCACTGTTCTTTATGGCATGCAAAAGCTGTTAATTTTACCTCATCAAAATTTGCCTCTTTTAATGATGTTATTGAAATGGTTTAATGAATCACCATTTTTTTAACGTTTCCTTCTGAAGAATAGTTTAAAGCAAATTGTAATTAATTAACAGAGAAAGATCTGAGTTCCTTCATCTTACTGCCATCTAGAAGCAGCTTAAATGCTTGATTTTTCAAAATGGGTTTATCTGCAAACCATGTCTCTCATCTACAAGTTCAGTGAATTTCAGATGTTCAATTCTTTGATTTATTTAGGAAATCCAGATGACATTTAACTTGGTCAAAACTGGTCTGCAATGGGCTCCTTGTTACCTTAAAATGAATATTCAATAGGCTGTGGTTGAGGCTCATGATTTCAGACACTTTACATAAGCTGAGAAGAAGTTAGGGATAAACTCTGAAGGCTTCTAGGTCCAGCCTTTCAGCAGTGGAGAAAAACCAGGTATCCTTACAAAGCAATTCATCCCAGCCTCCCATGAATCAGATGACCTCTGGAGCTGTCTCTCTCCACTGGTTATTGGATCAATCATAGAATCATGGAATAGTTTGGGTTGGAAAGGACCTTAAGGATCATCTAGATCCAACCCCCTGCATGGGCAGGGACACCTCCCACCATTCCAGGCTGCTCCAAGCCCCATCCAACCTGCCCTTCAACACTGCCAGGGATGGGGCAGCCACAGCTTCCCTGGGCAACCTGGGCCAGGCTCTCACCACCCTCACAGCCCAGAATTTCTTCCTCATGTCTCACCTAAATCTCCCCTCTTCCAGCTTAAAGCCATTCCCCCTTGTCCTATTATTATAAAGTGAAGTTAAGCACCTGACTTGGGCCAGATGGCTATAATGAGACAACGTGACTTCCATTTGACCCATTTTATTTTAATTGAGAGCCTCACAACTGGTCAGTCAGGGTCCAGCACAAGTGTCTGTTGTGTGACTTTGCTTTGGGCACACAAACTGTGATGAATCCCACATCATTTACCTGATGTGCCTGAGTGCAGCCAACCCAGCTTTCCCTTGGGGACAGATAAGTGGAATGCATCACCCTCCAGCCAAGGACAATTATGCTGCTGCTTTTCAGTCAAGTGCTGCAACTCTGGGAGGATGAACCTGAGCTCCAGTGAAAAGAAACTCTTCCCAGAAGGAATTTTTGGTGCTAGTCAACTGAAGCACAAATATAACTGCAGAATTGCCTCACTGAAGCACATCAGCCCCATAAAAGCTAAATGTTTTAGGGCTTGACATTTGAAAGAGCTGCAAAAAAGGCAGGTGGTTTGAAATTGCTGTCTACATTACACTGCTTCTCCAGCTAACACCCAACTTGGCTGCCTTTTTGTGACTAGAAGTGCCTGATTGAATGCAGTTAACACGTGTACCCGTTTGGAGAGTATAATGTATTTATTTTTTTATGTCCAGATTTCAAGAGCAGGGATTTAAATCCTCTTCTTTTCCCCCCCCCACCCTCCCTTAATTCTGGTGGATTCTGTTGCTGCTGTTTCTGTCACTACTGAGATTGCTGACCTGCGTGAACTTGAACATATTGAAGACCTGCCTCTCCTCAGAGTTCTGAATCTTTTAAATAATCCTGTACAGGTAAGAAAGAACTAAACAAGAAGGCAAAAATAAGGACCTGGAACTGTTGGTTTGAATCCCCCCTAGAATCCATTTTGCCACTTTGACCAGGTCATTTCAGGGAATGAGTACAAAAAATGATGGGTTTCCTGGCATTGTTACCCACCTCTGTCCAGGAACTTTGTCTCAACTAAAGCTGCATGTAGCTCATGATGTTTAATATCCATGTAGTAAAATCCATGAGTTTTTTAATTCAATTTGTGAATCCATTGATACGTTTGGAATCACAGTGTGCCACCAATTTTGTTTGGGGAAAAAAATCCACTTCTTGTTTGCTATGAAGGTGAATTGTTCCTGGAACAAAAACTTAATAGCACCACTTTAAAAATCTTGTGTCTCTAGGATCTATAACTTCTTTTCTTCTTTAGAATTTAGTGGACTTTCATTTTTGGCTCCCATAATATACCTCAATTAATGAATTAAAGATCCATTTTATTAACAACAGTGACATTTGCAAAATGCCAGAAATTCTGACTTGGCCTTTGCATTTGTAGCTTGTCCTGAGTGATCAAAGATGATTCTCTCCTGACTTTTGTGATTTCTGAATGATGTTTGAATTTTACAGTGATTTCCAATGTCAGAGAGAAGAAAACTGTTAAGGGTTCCACTTCTCCTTTCTGTAATTGCCAGCTTTATAGTGGCTTTCATGAGAATGCTCTGTCGTGGCACATCATAAAATTAGCATGAAAAAATGACCCAAAATAGGCTTTCCTGGTCCTCCTCAGTCTGAAGCCTTTTTCTGTTGAGATGTCCTTCCCCTAAGCAACATCTGATCCTGTTTCTTTCAGTTGCTGTTTTAATAACTTGTACATGCAACCATCATATTAAGTCTGAATTTCAGTTGTTTGAACCAGACCTTACTGGTTTTAGAACTAAGAAGCTTCATGAACTTGTCAGTGTCAGCTTTTTAATTGGGTTTTAAATCATTCTTGTTTATTGTCTCAGACTTAAAAGCATATATGATGACAAATTGATAATGCAAATTCTGTTTTAAAGTTCCTACAGTGCTGCTAAGGTTAGAAGTTATTAACCATAGTGTATTGCATAATCCCACTATAGGTAATTATTTTAGTTTCTTGGTGTTCTAGTGGGTCTGGTGGTGATGTTTAAATTTCCATCTTGACCTTTTGAAACAGACTTTGAAGCAACTCTTAGCTGTGATAGCAGAAGCTAAGCTTGTGGTGAGGGATCAGTTTTACAGTTTGTTGACAACCTTCAGGGTTAAAAAAGCTTCTTCTCTTGCAATGTAGTATTAAGGCCAATTTGATTTCAACCCATTTAAATGAAATATTAGATTGATGAAGTGAAGTTCTTTGTGTCAAAGTGGAACCTTTGTCCTTCAGAAGCAAACAGATTATTGGCTCCTGGTGATCTTCATGTTGCTTCGACTGACAGAGCTGGATCTCCAGAAGATTTCAGTGAAGGAAAAGGTATGTAAACATCACCTCCTTCAGGAGTTTTACTTCATATCTAGAATATAGAAAACTGAGCATGCAAATGTAGCTTTGTAGTCATATGAGTGTGACAAATCTCCCATGTTTCAGCCCCCAAGGTAGGCTACAAATTCAGAGCCTTTTGCTTTTAAATCCAGAGATGTATCTACAGAATTTCTGGAGCAGTTGTGGAATGTAAAAATGCAAAGCTTCCCTAAAAGCTTTGTCAGGGAAGAAATGTACTTAGCAAGTGACTCTAAACAGGCAGCTATATCCATAAAATACTCTGAAGTGGTAACCACTTAAATACCATTACTGGGGTGTTTTTAGTGTCATTACAGCAAACTGAACTCTGAAAGTTATAATGATGCTTGTTTCCCATTCTGCTCCTTACAACTTTCACTGTAAAATCTTCTTCCCCTCAAAATAGCTGCTCAGATTTCTTACAGTCACTGCCTATTGTAATAGAAACCTTTCTGGAACAGGTTGCCCAGGGAAGCTGTGGCTGCCCCATCCCTGGCAGTGTTGAAGGGCAGGTTGGATGGGGCTTGGAGCAGCCTGGGCTGGTGGGAGGTGTCCCTGCCCATGCAGGGGGGTTGGAACTGGATGATCTTAAAGGTCCCTTCCAACCCAAACCAGTCTGGGGTTCTGTATAGAATTTGAGCCCAAGCCATGATAAAACTGTTAAGATTATCAGCTGCCAACTGGGGTTGGATTTCAGGGACTTATTCTTGAAACATTGTCCTTACAGGAAATTCATCACTCCTAACTTTAACCACATAAGTATTAGGGCTCTTGTTTAATGCCAGGCTCTCTCTGTCACAAACACAGGGAAGGGATGATACCAGTGTGTCCACAGTACTACATGTTTTGGTTTAGATATTCACTCCTATTTCACCATGTCACCTGCTACCCTAGAAAGGTTGGACCAGGTGATCCTTGATGTCCTTCCCAACCCGGCATCCTATGATTCCATGATTCCAATCTCAGTGTGGCTGTCCCTGGAGCTTCCAGCAGTATTTTGCAGCAGTGTCAGCTAGTTGATGTTTGCTGGTTTACATGAAATGCCTCAGAAGTTCTTAACCTGTTTCTGAGGGAGTTGCAGTAATCCCAAAAAAGACACAACCTGTTAGCAGTCAGGACCCTCACTAGAGCTTTCAACAGAATGGATGGAGGGAATCCTTGGAGTTTGAGTGCTTCTTTTCCCAGGGAAGACAGAAATGCATTGTCAAGAGAAAACTGCAATTTGCTGACTTTGTTAATGCCTATTCTCTTCCTCTTCTGATGAATAAATGAATGGCTCCAGTCCCCTGAGATTTTAGTTTGGCATTTTCCACCAGCACCGAGAGGATGCAAATTAATGGATTATTAAAACCTAAGCAAAATGACTTTGCATCTTATGTAGCATCCTGTTTTCTTTCCAGTAAAAGGTTGAATGTATTAAAGGTAGTGAGCTACCTCTGGCTGCTTTCCATCCATCTATCAAATCCTGCTTAAATCCTCTGAAAAAAGATTTCTGTGGTGGAGTGATCCCAGACAACCCAAATGCAAAGACTGACCCTCATAAATATGAAGCCCTCATTACTCATAATGATATGTGAAGCTTATTACAGCTAGAAATAATTATTATATCTCTCCTCTCCTTTCTTTTGCCCCTAACCTGTGGGAAAAAAAAAAAAAAGGTTGCTGCTGTGAATAAATATGATCCTCCTCCAGAACTTGTTGCTGCTGAAGATCATATGAATCATGTGATGTACAGCATGTTGCAGCCCCTGAGAGTCTTGGACAGGTAAGCTCACCTCCACTTCACATCTGCTCCTGAGGGTGGCACTCAAGTCAAGCAGAATATGTTGTCATAGTTGGAGGGACATTTTTCTGTCCTTCTCCCACCTCTAAATGAATCCAGTTAAGAGGAGAAGTCCTACAGGGTTCTGGTGGTGGTCTGGAAATGAGGCAAATCTGATTAGGTTGGAGTTGATTATGAAATGAAGTTAGTCATTCACCTGTAAAGTCTGAGACAGCTTGTCCACAGCTCCATTTCTTTGGGACAATCTGGTGAAACAGATGGCCATTTGCACCATCAATGAGAGATGCAAAATTTCTCTCAATACCCAAAGGCAATTCCAAACCTCTGCAGGCAGAAGAGCTGTAAAATGTACCTTCCTCCCATCCTGCTTCCTCCTTCTCTTCACACTATTGGCATCCCATTGTGAACAGAATGACTTTCTTTTGTGGCCTTGGGGGCACATTTTATATTCATAAGGTGAAATGTTTGAGTTTGTACTGAGGGAAGTCCAGCTACCTGTGCCCTTGGGAGGAGGTGGTGCTGACAGCCACTTCAAGCAGAGAAGGGAGAGGCAGCTCAGTGTTCTTTTTCCAACATTACTATTGCCATGCCAGGTGACTTCTTGCAGTCTCACTTCTCATATAGAAAGTGGCCATATTTTGCTGCTCTGCAGAGGTGTTATGATATGTGCTTGGTGATTGCTTGGAAAATGCTTTGACATCCTGGGATGGAAGATTCTGTGTAGTTGGCCCAATTTAGTATTATATTGGCTGTAGTGGGCACTGAGATAAACTATTGTGCCCCACAACCTGTTTTATAGAATCACAGAAGGGTTTGGTTGGAAGGGACCTTAAAGATCATCCAGTCCCACCCCCTGCATGGGCAGGGACACCTCCCACCACTCCAGGCTGCTCCAAGCCCCATCCAACCTGCCCTTCAACACTGCCAGGGATGGGGCAGCCACAGCTTCTCTGGGCAACCTGGGCCAGGCTCTCCCCACCCTCACAGCCCAGAATTTCTTCCTAATGTCCAACCTAAATCTTCCCTCTTCCAGTTTTAATCCGTTCCCCCCTGTCCTATCACTACAAATCCCCTTGTCCCAAGTCCCTCCCCAGCTTTCCTGGAGCCCCTTCAGGCACTGGAAGCTGCTCTAAGGTCTCCCTGGAGCCTTCTCTTCTCCAGGCTCAACCCCCCAACTCTCCCAGCCTGGCTCCAGAGCAGAGCTGCTCCAGCCCTCCCATCTTAATTTTGGACACTTAAAAGCATGATGAATAACCTGATTTAAAATCCATGATTATTAACTCAAAAGTTTATATTTTTAGAATATCGTTATTGCCAGTCTTGGTATTTTCTGGGACTGTCAATGAAAGACAGGACCCATCCCAGTGCTGATGAGAATTCTTAATAGCCTGTTGAAAAAAAACCCAAACATCCCAAACCCAAAGACTTATTCACTGTTTTGCAGAGCTGGAGATTACTTTAAAAGAAACCCCACAAATAAAACAAACAGCACAATAGTTTTACCTAAAATCATGGATTTCTTCCAGACATATTCTCTATTTCAGTATTTATTTCTTGGATTGTGTGTGTATCTTCATGGCTGGAAAGAAATAATTCTGCCTCCTGTCAGAGGTACTGGGTACACAAACAGATAAACATGCAGAGCAGCACTGATGGTGCTGACCAAAATTGTTAGTGAAGATTTGAATGTTTGCCTGTGCTCAGCTGGAAAGAACACAGCACAGTCATTAATGAAATCTTCCTAATGATGATGTGTTGTATAGTCTTCAACACCATAAAAGGCTTAGTGGGACCATATTGGAGTAGTTCATTTGCATCTTATCTCTTTAGATGAGATCGTAATTAATTCTGCTGGAGTAATTTCCCCATTAAAAACTGAAAACAAAGCAAAAAGGGACATGGTTGCATATTCTGCAGTCAGAAAACATTGGGTTTTATGCTGTTCTCTCTCTGTGTGCCTTGTGATTCTATCTTTAATTACATGGTAACACACCACTGAGCAATAGTATGTGTATTTTTGCCCTGCTAGAAATACATGTGACATTTAAAACAGTAACTTGTTCACAACTACAAATGATGCACAGGGAGCAGAGATTTAATAACAGAGGGCTCCTCAGTCTGTTGGGCAAGTACACAATGAGACCTGGTATCTGGCTGTTGAGGATAAATTCCTTCAGAGAAGAAATCGAGCATGATTATTTTTAAAAATGAAGGTAATTAACTATTGGAACAATTTCCCAGGGGTACCAAGAATTGTCCACAACTGGAATGTTTTTAATTAAAATATGCTGTGGTGGAACCCCAGGTTAGGCTTGAAACAAGAACCAACTCAGGGAAATCCTGTTGCCACAGTGATGAGGGAAGTGGTGTCTTCTTGTCCAAAAGACAAAGCAACAGGTGGAACCCCAGGTTAGGCTGAAACAAGAACCAACTCGGGGAAATCTGTTGCCACTGTGATGAGGGAAGTGTGAGGAGATGATCACAGTAGACCCTTCTGCAATTTATTGATCTAGCCCAGTGGTGTCTTCTTGTCCAAAAGACAAAGCAAGTTGAAAGATGCACATTAAATGAGCCAAGAACTCTTTACAAGAACACAGAGTGTCACCGTTTGACATGGTCTGGGTTGGAAGGGACCTTCAAATCATCTAGATCCAAATCCCCTGCATGGGCAGGGACCCCCCCCACCATTCCAGGCTGCTCCAAGCCCCATCCAACCTGCCCTTCAACACTGCCAGGGATGGGGCAGCCACAGCTTCTCTGGGCAACCTGGGCCAGGGTCTCCCCACCCTCACAGCCCAGAATTTCTCCCTCACATCTCAGCTCCAGCTCCCTCTGCCAGCTGGAAACCCTTCCCCCTGCTCCCATCCCTCCCTGCCCTTGTCCCAAGTCCCTCCCCAGCTTTCCTGGAGCCCCTTCAGGCACTGGAAGCTGCTCTAAGGTCTCCCTGGAGCCTTCTCTTCTCCAGGCTCAACACCCCAACTCTCCCAGCCTGTCTCCAGAGCAGAGCTGCTCCAGCCCTCCCAGCATCTCTGGGGCCTCTGGACTCTCTCCAACAGCTCCATGTCCTTCCTATGTTGAAGGCTCCAGACCTGGGCACAATTCTCCAGGTGGGGTCTCATGAGAGCCAAGTGAAGATGCTGTTTACAAATTGTAGGAAACCCAGAATTTTTAGGTTATTTTCTGAGAACCAATAGGTGGTGATGTAATGAAAAGACAGGCTTATGGGAATGTTCCCCATGTTCTCCTGATGAAAGAAATAAGTCAAAAGGAGTTTGAGGATGTGAGGAATTTGAGCAATGGACATTTTTTTAAGGGAATTTTAATGTCAGGTCTAACCATGTCAAGTAATGATCAATTGCACCATTGCTGGGTAGAACACTCCCTTCTAAAAGAAAAGATAAAGAGGAATTCTGCACTTTGCAAGTGACAGGTTCTGTGTGTGGAGAAGGATTATATTATAACTATGTTGAAGATAAAGGTTCTGCCTTCATAGAGCTGCCCTGGCATCATTATTCATGAAGGCCCTGGCTCTGAGCAAGAGGTAGAACCTTTCTGCTATGTCTTGATACATTTGAAATCTCTGGTCACTGAGTGTGTTTCATGGAATTCTCATCTCTGAAATGGTGCATTTATAGTAATGCACTTGTATCCACAACTGTCACTAACACCTCCTGGGATCATGTGTCTTAAACTGGTCTTTTCCTTACCAGAAATGTCAGAAAAGACACTCTGAGCAGGTCACTTTTAATGTATTGTGCTGATAAGCTTATTGTACTAATGTTCTCTAAGAGTTTGTAAATGTCACCTATGAGTCAAAACCCCTTAAATCTCCCAAGGGTTCAGCTACTTCAAAAGCCTTGTGGATTGACCTCCAAACCAGGGCCTGGGTTCATTTCAGTTTAGTAACAGCACATCTGTACAGACTGGAGCCAGTATCTGAATTTATGAGGTGTAGCTGCTGTTTCTCTGTGAGGATAGAATTGCAATATTATCTTAGTGCTTCAGAAGCATCAAGTCCCATTATATACAAATAATATACATACAATCTGGTAGAAAATAGAGCTGATTTGCTCAACCTATAAGAGGACTAAAGCTGTTACTTTGAACTCTTTTTTTCTCCATGCTTGTGTTGGATGATTATCACTAGTTCTTACAGAGTTAGCTACTTGTAAGAGAAAAGGTAAAAGAAATACACTTAGTTTGCAGGAATTTGAGTTCACCTGTTTTAAATCACATTAAGTGGAAGCTTAACACACATTGGTGCTTTCCTTCCACTTTACAATTTTAATTGAGTTAAAGCTGTTTATTAGTTGGAAATGAGTGGGTTTGAAATTATTTCAACTATTTCTGGCATATTATCAAGTGGCATCATCATAAGATGTAGCTGAGATTTGAAAATGAGAATCCAAAGTTGCAGTCCATTTTTAGCTACCATTTTTTAAATCACTGGACACTGGGAAATGCAGAAATGCTGTTCATTCTGGTATTTCCAGCTGGGAGTGGAAATATCAGGATCTAACCATCTGCTCAGCATGGAGAAAACTGAGAGCTTTGTGTTTTTGCAGCACTTTGGGTTTCTTTTATTGTAGTGTTATTTGTGTTCAGTGCAGCTTGAGGATCTTAGTGTTTTTCTTGGTTTTGAATGCAACAGTTTTGTACAAATTTTTACCTTCATCTGGGAAGGCCATGGAAGTCAGCAAAATTAAATGAAGGAAGGCATAAAGGTTTGTAGAGTCCAGAATCGTGGTAGGCTTATTATCCTGATCATTCAGATATTACTGTAGAATCACAGAATCATGGAATGGTCTGGGTTGGAAGGGACCTGAGAGATCATCCAGTCCCACCACCTGCCATGGGCAGGGACACCTCCCACCAGCCCAGGCTGCTCCAAGCCCCATCCAACCTGCCCTTCAACACTGCCAGGGATGGGGCAGCCACAGCTTCTCTGGGCAACCTGGGCCAGGCTCTCCCCACCCTCATACTAAAGAATTCCCTCCTAATGTCTCACCTAAATCTTCCCTCTGTCAGTTTTAATCCATTCCCCCTGCTCCCATCCCTCCCTGCCCTTGTCCCAAGCCCCTCCCCAGCTTTCCTGGAGCCCCTTCAGGCACTGGAAGCTGCTCTAAGGTCTCCCTGGAGCCTTCTCTTCTCCAGGCTAAACACCCCAGCTCTCCCAGCCTGTCTCCAGAGCAGAGCTGCTCCAGCCCTCCCAGCATCTCCATGGCCTCCTCTGGACTCTCTCCAGGAGCTCTGTGTCCTTCTTATGTTGGAGGATCACCATCTCTGTGATAGACTTGGAAAACAAACAAATCCCAACACCTCAACTGCAGAGGGAGCTTTAGAAAAGGCTGTAAATCAGAAAATATTGTAGTAGTCAAAACATTATTACTTTTGCCAAATAGACCAAGGAGTCTTCAAAGCAGCATTTTGTGCTGGTTTTATGTTTAGGGCAGATCAAACTGAGCACAAGCTTCTCCTGCTTTTTGCCTACACTGTGAACAATGTGAATAGTGTGACAAACAGATGAGATTTGTTGAAGTGATGATAAAGTCTCTGCAGAAGCTTGATGCAAAGTGGCCAAAGCCTTCATTTTGTAGGTAATATAATGGCTCTTCTTTTTCCTTTCTCATAGCACTTTACCTAGTCTTGATACTCCCTACCCCATGCTGGTGTTAGCTGGTCCTCTAGCCTGTGGCAAGAGAGAACTTACTCTGAAGGTCTGCAAGCAGTTCAGCAATTTCTTCAGACATGGGTAAGTTTCCTCCAGAAGTTGAAAAGAACACCAAGTGATAAGGCTGCAATTGCTGCTGGTTTGTTTGTTCTTTGTTCTTGGTTTTTTTTAAAGAGGTTAAAAGTTAAAAACAGCCAGTAAATGTTCATTGCTCTGCATCTTATCTCTTCCCAGGGCTTGATTGCCTGAAGCCATCAAATACTTCCTTAAAAGAGAAACTTGAAATTCTCATGTTCTTTTCAAAGGTGAACAGCAAAAAAACAAACAAGAATGTGTTATTTAGTGCTCCTTTTATTGATCTGTTCTATCTGTGCTTGCTCATGCCCCTCAACCCAAGCATCTGTTTAGATAGGTGTGCATTTCTCTTAATTTTTGTAACGTACCTGCATGTAAGCACATTAGCATGCACATGCAGACTGCACCCAGAAGCTGGGAAAGGCAGCAAGTGCAATTACTGGACCAGTTTATTATCCTATGAGTAGTGTTATCAAAGCAAATGGCACCTTTCAGACTTCACCACCTGCTGGGAGGACTAATTCTCCCTCTCTGAATGGCCTGAATTATGATCCTCACAGCCTTGGGCTGCCTGTGTGTTTAGTGGAGCAAAACTTTCTCTTTCCAAGGGAGATCCAGACTTTTTGAATCACTTCCCTGAGGTATCCACCCATTTTCAATGCACAGGGCATAGGAAGGATGGCTAAGTCAGGTCACCACCACCTCTTGCCTAAAATTGGGTGGGACAATCTGTTCCTCTTGTCCACCCCTGCCATTCTTCACAATACCAAGGTCCTACTGGGCACTAGTGTGTATTCCTGTTATATTGGTTCTCCTCTGTTTTCTCATGTATTTATTGTTTTATTAAACAAATGTACCCATTCATTTTGATCCTGACCTTGGCCACAGTTTGACACGTGTGGTGTTTGCCACAGTAAGAGCTGGGTCTATTGTTCTGCACCCTTAGGTGCTGCAGTGGTGAGTTGTAAGAAAGGGACCATGGGCACCTGCAAATGTGAGAATGATTCCTCAGACTTCTCAGCATCACAGGACCATGCTCTGCATGTCATCATAGGATCACAGAATGGTTTGGGTTGGAAGGGACCTTAAAGATCATCCAGTTCCAACCCCCTGCATGGGCAGGGACACCTCCCACCAGCCCAGGCTGCTCCGAGCCCCATCCAACCTGCCCTTCAACACTGCCAGGGATGGGGCAGCCACAGCTTCCCTGGGCAACCTGGGCCAGGCTCTCACCACCCTCACAGCCAAGAAATTCTTCCTGATGTCTAACCCAAATTTCCCCTTTTCCAGTTTAAAACCATTGTCCCTTGTCCTATCACTACATGCCCTTGTCAAAATGTCAATGTCATGCCTTCTCCTCTAACATGATACATCACAGTGAAGGAGCCTGGATACATTTCTCTCTGCTCTGTTCTCAGCTTATAGCTATTTATTGGCCTAGGTCATTAAACTTGCAAGTCCAAGGGACACTTTAAAAGGTCTGTGAAGGTTATGTGACAGGAAAAATCACTTTTTGCCTTTGTTTACCCAGACAGGTGGTAGATGCCTCATCCCTGGAAACATTCAAGGTCAGGTTGGATGGGGCTCTGAGCAACCTGATCTACTTGGAGATGTCCCTGCTCATGCAGGGGGGTTGGACTAGGTGGCCTTGAAAGGCCCCTTCCCACCCAAACCATTCTATGAATTCTATTATACTGGGTTTTGAAAGGCCAGATAGGAAATTACAAACCAATTGAATGCCAATTGAAATATTCCCAGCACTATGTTTGTTTTTTTTTAAAGAGTATTTTTTTAATGTTGTGTGTTTTATTTCCTTAAATGTTGATGCATGTTGGGAGGGGGGGAGGGGAAAAGGAGAGAGGCAGAATCTCAACAGAGCAGAAAATTGCAACCATAAAGCAAAGTTGTATTTTAATTATTCAGTGGAGATTCAAGCAATTTTATGGCTTAAACACTTTCAAATTTCCAACATTCCACTCATTAAAAATGTATTTCACATAAGATACCCTGGCAGTTTAAATGTAAACACAGCCTTGCAATTAAAAAGGGGTTGCAATTTTTAAAAGTGTTTGAAAAAATCAAGTGAAATTGGACCCTCAAACCATCTGGCTACTGCTCAGGAATGACCTTTAGAGCTGGATGCCTTCATAATATCTCCAAGAAAATCAGAGCATTGAATTGAAATTACAGGGCACACTGGTCTCACTCACCACAGCTTGCTGATAAAAAGAAGTGGGACCTTCCAATGCTGTGATAGTTAAGTTTTCTCAAGCTCTGTGTTATAAACGAAACTTCTTAATGGTTTATGACTCAGCTACCTTGAATAAATGAACTGTGTCCAGCTCTGGGCCCCTCACTGCAAGAAGGAGCTGGAGGTGCTGGAGCAGGTCCAGGGGAGACAGCGAGGATGGGGAAGGGGCTGGAGGGAAAGGCTGATGAGGAGAGGCTGAGGGAGCTGGGCTTGTTCAGCCTGGAGAAGAGGAGACTCAGGAGGGACCTTCTCACTCTCTACAACCACCTGAAGGGAGGTTGGAGGCAGGTGGGGTCGGACTCTTTTTCCAGGCAACCAGGGACAGGACAAGAGGGCCTGGCCTGAAGCTGCTCCAGGGGAGGGTTAGGTTGGATATCAGGAAGCACTTCCTCATGGAAAGGGTGCTCAGACCTTGGGATGGGCTGCCCAGGGAAGTGGTGGAGGCACCATCCCTGGAGGTGTTCAAGGACAGGCTGGATGTGGCACTTGGTGCCCTGGTCTGGCTGATGTGGTGGTGTCAGGTCATAGGCTGGACTTGATAATCTGAAAGGTCTTTTCCAGCCTTGGTGATTCTGGGATTCAGTGAAATGGCCTGGTGGTTTGGTTTGGTTTTGCCATATTTTCCAGGACAATGCAGCAGAATTCAAAGAGTTAAAATGGTATCAGTATGAATCAATGCCAAAACTCCACATTAGGCTTTTGTTCCTGTCATAACCAAAATGAAAGCAGAAACAAGTAGCAAAATATATTTTCCCTAGATAAAACCTGAGCCACTGCATACTTGAATCTAAAATTACTACATTAATTGACTTAGGTGGGGTTTTTTGGCATTCTTAGAGGGGTGGTTCTTTTTAGTGTTTCATCCTGGCAATAAGCTCACATACCCAAGGTTTATCCTGTTGTCCTGATGTGGAGACATGGAATTACTTTTCCTGCCTTGAATCCCACTTATCTCCCTAGTTTCAGAATTGTTTCTCCCCTCACTATTAGGGGAGATTGAACTTTCTGTCTCTTTCTGAACAGTTCAGCCTAATTCCTAGTCTCCTTTTCCATGTTTAGGATGCTACTTTATATCATCCACCAGCTGACATAACTGGGAAAAAAATGGGTTCATCATTCCTTTATTACAGGCTGCTGTGACAGCTTCAGTTCAGGCTCTCCTGGGTTGGGATAAATTTATAACCAAAATGTAATGTTACCTTTAAACTATTTTATTTTTTGTTTGTTTGTTTGTTTGTTTTAATTTATGGCTTGATCTTTCAAATATGCAGCATTAATGGTATGATTTGCACCTCTTTGTATTTCTCCCATTTCCTCTCTTAAAAATACAATGATTTGTAGTATTCTCCCCCCTCTTTCCTGTTCCATTGCTGCTTCTGTGATTGAAAACAGGTTATTTTTTTATTGCACCATCTATCTTCCAGTCTCTGTCACACCACCAGGAAAGCTTATTTTGGTGAAGAAAACAAACTTGATTACTACTTCATATCCCAAGAAGCATTTGGCAAAATGGTGAACACAGTAAGTACCTGATTAAGATCCTGGATTTCCACACCAGAAATAAATTCTACTGAAATCAGGTCTGATTTATTGTATATTTTGTTAATATTGAGTTTGAGTCTCTCTGTGCATGATTATTCACTCACAATTATGTGTCTTCAGCTCGTAGAGACCACAAATTCACTGTATATTTATGCTGTCTATGAATGCATAGAAAGCATTGAATGGGCATAATGCTCAGGAGGAGTCTTTAAACAATACTGTCATGTAAAAATAAACTTATTTCCATATGCAAATATCCTGTGTGTGCAGGAAAGAAAACCTCTTGAAATAGCTGACATCTTTTTATCCTCTCCCCCCCCCCCATCTTTTCTTTCTTTTAAAGTTTAGCCAATTCCCCCTCGAGGCATCATGTTTCTCTCTGAAGGCAAAGTGCCTCCAGCTACTGTTTCTGCTGCCTTTTTGCTGCCTGCAATAAAACTTGGTCTTGAAAAACCCCAACAGAGCTCAATATTTGTACATACACAAATGGAGGAGCCAACACAGTCTGAAGCAACCGAGCTGGGTCCTTAATGAGAACTCTCAGTAATCAAGTAGTTTGAATTTTGCAGGAATATCATTTGCTCCCATCTCTCTAGAGGTACTACTGGGAAGCAGAGTTTCAGGTTTTAAGTTTGGGGTCTCTTGGTGAATGAATTATGCATTCTCCTTGCAGATTTGTTTCTGTCCCTTCTTTTCTTTGGCATCTTCTCTTTCACGTGGCGTGGCCAGGTGGTTGGATGGAATGTCCAAGGAAAGGTGCCCCCTGCTTTAGATCTTGCTTTCTTCACAGTGTGAATGAATAACCAAACCTGTCAGCAGTTTGTTTGCAAGACATTGATGTTTGATCATCCATGACCAAATCACAAACCTCTGCCCTGCAGGACTGAGTGTTGCTCTTCTCTGAACTCTCATTTGCCTCATTATCATCAATAATTTGAGCAGGGAGAAACTTTGTAGGGAGAGAAAGCAAGGGAGTCCAGAGTGATTATGCTCCTTTAAGGAAGTTCTTTCCCTTATAATATTTCCTGTGTGATGATACTTGTTTTGAATTTCAGGGGAAGTTCATACTAACCTACAAACACAGTGACTATTACTATGGACTTGCAAGAGACACTGTAGAATCAGTTGCCAGAGAGGGGCTTGCAACCTGTGTTCACTTAGAAATAGAGGTAAGGTTTACTTATTGCTACATTTTTTAACATTGAGAACTGTCCTGGGGAAGAATTGATGCAGTTTGACTAAGGTTTGTTTCAGCTGCCTGGGCATTGTGACACAAGAGACAGCCCAGGCCTTCTGCCCAGCCTACAGCTGCTGCTACAGCTGAACCAGTGGTGTGGGCTGCTTTACTGGGGAAGCTGTTTGCTCAGAGGAACTGCTTTTTTAACTCCACTGCCTGTGTCAAGTAGCTCCCCACTGCCTGGATGTAAACAACACCTCTCCCTTTATAGGACAAGGGTGATGGTTTCCAGTTGGAAGAGGGGAGATTTAGGTTAGACATTGGGGAGAAATTCTTCCCTGTGAGGGTGGTGAGAAACTAGAGCAGGTTGCCCAGAGAAGCTGTGGCTGCCCCATCCCTGGGGGTGTTGAAGGGCAGGTTGGATGGGGCTTGGAGCAGCCTGGGCTGGTGGGAGGTGTCCCTGCCCATGCAGGGGGGTTGGAACTAGGTCACAGTCAAAGTGTCAACATCTGTCTTTTGGAGTCCCAAAACAAGAACTTTTGAGCTAATTTTCTAATAATGGATTTCTCATCATCTTAGATGGACATTTACTAGCTAGGGATTGAGGTGACAAAAAGGAAAAGCTTGCTCCATGTCCTTCCTTCCAAATTCTTTCTACAAAATATGCTCCATCTAGATGAGCTTTCAAAAGCAGAGTCTCTACAGAGTGTCCAGAATGTAATAGTGAGTGTTGCTGGTTTTCACCCCCTTTGTAGGATTCAGCTCTACCTGTGGGGGATTACAACAAGTTAACAGTTACTCCTACACTCCATGATAGATGAGAAAAGATGGTAGAGATTTAAAAAGTAATGTAGGAGACTGCATTGCTAAGGTAGGATCCCAAGTTGTGCATCCAAAGTTAAAGGAATGACTAGGGAGACCTGAGCAAAATTTGGTACTAAATGTAACTAATTTTAGATGATTTCTTTGTTGATGAAACTAATGGTCAAAAAGCTAGTTTTCAGTGAAGAGCTTCATAAGGAGTTTTAGTCCCCTTTGGCCCAAATACATCTGTAGACATTTACTGGCTTGCATCTAAACATACAAATAACAAAAGCAGCATATCAAGTGCTAAAAAATTAGGAGCTCCATGCTCAAATGGTCCACAATTTAATGCTGCAACCCTGCTCTGAAGTGCCTGCTACTTGGCTGATATTAAACAGCAAATTAATAACTGAATCTCTGTGTTGGTCCCTTTGCTCTTTTTCCTCAGTCTTGTGAGAACTGTGAATCACCCTCAGGCTCCCCTGACTGCAACAGGCAGTGAGAGGGTTTGTTGTCTTGCCAGACAGACCCTGAATCTATAAAGGGAGACAAATAGGAGAAGATAAAATCTAATGGAAGGAGGTGCCTTTGAAAGCTGTCAGGTCTTCCCAGACTAGATGTGTTCTCAAATAATTTAGGAGAAAGAACTTAATGGAATGTCATGTTTATTCATAAGGAGGTTAACCCAGCAACACAGGCAGTGACCATAACTTTTTCTGGGTATTACCAGAGCTACTGTCATGGACAGGCAGCTGAAAAACTCCTTTGTCACTGAAGTTTCAAGATCACATAGTAATTATGCATAGTCTTGTATCACAGTGGACTGTGCTAGCAGATGAGAAACAATAATGGTGAGTTATGTATCTGAGGAGAAGTTATCCAAGTCCATTATCTTCTGTGAGGCTCATAACAAAAGTGATTTAGCACTATTAAAAGAAATTTTAATTATGGGCTGTGGGCTGGGACTAAAAATTTAGAGCTGTTCATTCCCTTTAATCTAGAGTGTATCATTCACTGATAAAAGAGACTGGCACAAATTTTAAAAGTTAAATGTTGCTGGGTCTACACTTGCAGATAGTGAAGCTGCTGCTCTCCTGGCACACAGTGACAGGCTGGAGTAAGTAGATCTGCTGAGCTTTCCCTCTGCTTCTGGAGCCAAGTACCTGCAGAGGAATTGAAGGAGCTCCACATTCCCCCCAGGGCTGTAGGGGCAGAGTGGCTAGTGTGTCTGATTCTCAGAGAATCATAGAATCACAGACTGGTTGGGAAGGATCTTAAAGATCACCCAGTTCCACCCCCCTGCATGGGCAGGGACACCTCCCAGCAGCCCAGGCTGCTCCAAGCCCCATCCAACCTGCCCTTCAACACTGCCAGGGATGGGGCAGCCACAGCTTCTCTGGGCAACCTGGGCCAGGGTCTCCCCACCCTCACAGCACAGAACTTCTTCCTCACATCTCAGCTCCAGCTCCCCTCTTTCAGCTTAAAACCATTCTCCCTCATCCCATCCCTCCCTGCCCTTGTCCCAAGCCCCTCCCCAGCTTTCCTGGAGCCCCTTCAGGCACTGGAAGCTGCTCTAAGGTCTCCCTGGAGCCTTCTCTTCTGCAGGCTGAAAATCTTGAGACCTCTAGCTTGGATCAGGGTTTCCAGTATTTCTTTCACAGCAATTTGTGAATTTATCACCTGTCCTAAACTCAGCCACAAGTTCCATAGGCACTTTCAGGAACAAAACATTGCATTTCTCTGTTTCATTTTAAAGGGTGTTCATAGCTTGAAAAAAACCTACTTTAAACCCAGATACATCCTGGTGCTACCAACAGACACAGAGAAATATAAGGGACACCTGAGGAGGAAAGGAATATTCAGCAGGCCAGAGATTGAAGAGGCAGTCTCCAGAGTGGACATGTACATCAGGATAAGTGAGGATATTCCAGGATACTTTGATGCAGTAGTCAGTGCAGGTAAGTTAATCTCTTTCATGCTATAAATCTGACTTCTAATGTCACACCAATAGATGGACTGAAGCTGCTGTGCAAACAAAGCCACAGGCAAATATTAAACTAAGGATGACAAACAGTTTGATGTTCAGCATAACAGTTTAAGCTATCCCTTAATTGGTTTTTTTTTTCCCAGTTAATTCTTGTCCCAAGAATCCAAAAGCTCTGGAGATCTGTCAGGACTGAATGACTCTGCTACATCCACATTGTGCTTTATGCCCATCTAGAAAACAAACCAACTAGTGAACTCAGCAGCAGACTTGTCAGATATGGTCTCCTGTGAGGATATTAAACTGATCTGTGCTAATTGTCTGTTGGTTTCTGTGCAGAGCTTAGAGGTACTTTTGATCTAACAGCCCTAATTATCTCTGGGCAGAATAGGTGGGGTTTTTTTTTCAAGTGTTGAAGTGACAGCTGATGTGCAGTCTGGCAACATCTCACTGGAAAGAAGAGGCTGCTGCAAAAGCTTTTCCTTTGTGTAGGACTCTTCTGCTTTGTAACTTGCTCAGGTTCCCCAGCCTGAAACAAGGAATGTCAGGGTGGTAGATAATTCATTCAGACAAATGTTTGCTTCTTGATATTTAAGACTTGAGGATAGCAGGTGGCAGGGAAGAATTCTTTTCTGGTTCATTCTCTGTCTGCCCTTTTGTGGAGGTGTTTTTTTGTGGTTCACTGTAGTGATGGGGAAATGTGTCACTGTGGTATGAAATACTGTATTTCTAACTATTTTCAAGGAAATAGGGAGCTTGCAATTTAAATAAATCAATTAAAGACATGAAACACAGCAAACCAAATTACAGAAGGAGAATGTTTAGCTGAGTAGAGAAACTGAGATGGATTTCAGATTATTTTCTGGAATGTGCTGTTGACAAAAATGAAGATTTTTCTCCCAGAGGGAAGCTGGGTGAGTTAAGAATGCATTTCTGTGTCAAACTTATGGGATTTGTAACTTTGTACTAATGAAACTTTGGTGTTTTTTTTTCCTGATGTGTCCTTTCTCCCCCCCATGAAATGCACATCCCTTTCTGCAGATGACCTGGAGGAGGCTTTCACAGAGCTGAGTTTCCTCATCAAGGCATACCTGGGTTTGGAGCCACCTGTGACTTCTGAGAGCACTCATGACTTGGAGAGCAGAGCAGGAGCAGGTAGTGTGTCTGGGCACATGCTATTGCTGATTTTATCCGCAGAGTATTCCTGCTTATTTGCTACAAGAGTTAACATGTGAATGATGCAACCTGTGAGACTGCTTGTCTATAAAAACCCCACATGCTTCTCTGTAATGGGCCTCCTGGGCTGGTTCCTCCCTGGAATCTGAATCTGTGTGCCCTGAGGCAGTAACATCTCTTCTGAGGATGCTTTTGGGCTGATCTCCTTTTCATTCCAGATGAATCACAAGAGAGATGTATGTCCATGGATGAGAACTTTGTGCCTAACAAACTGTTGAGCAACCAGAAAATGGCCTGGTACTGAGGTGCTACTTTACTCTGTTCCCCAGGATAGCCAGAAGCAGAGAATCATAGAAACACAGACTGGTTTGGGTTGGAAGGGACCTTAAAGATCATCCAATTCCGCCCCTGCATGGGCAGGGACACCTCCCACCAGCCCAGGCTTCTCCAAGCCCCATCCAACCTGCCCTTCAACACTGCCAGGGATGGGGCAGCCACAGCTTCTCTGGACAGCCTGGGCCAGGCTCTCCCCACCCTTAAAACACAGAATTTCTTCCTAATGTCTGACATAAATCTTCCCTCTTTGAGCTTGAAACTGTTCCGCTTCATCCCATCCCTCCTGCCCTTGTCCCAAGCCCCTGCCCAGCTTTCCTGGAGCCCCTTCAGGCACTGGAAGCTGCTCTCAGGTCTCCCTGGAGCCTTCTCTTCTCCAGGCTCAACACCCCAACTCTCCCAGCCTGTCTCCAGAGCAGAGCTGCTCCAGCCCTCCCAGCATCTCTGGGGCCTCCTCTGGCCTCTCTCCAACAGCTCCATGTCCTTCCTGTGTTGGGGGCTCCAGAATTGGACACAGCACCATGAAGACATTGATGGAAACTAGGACAATAAGATGAGTGAAGGCACTTTATAAATGCACTCCAAGTACTTTTGGTGCTACCTACTGTGGGGTAAACCCCAGTGGTCACTTGTGTGTTTAACAGAAGCCTTTTAGCCCTTGGATGACCAAGGCTGGAGGCTCTTGCATCACTTCCAGCCAATCCGTGTGCATGCTACTGTAAAAAGTGGTCACCCCAACTTAACCTCTCCTGCCAATGCATCCAGACCTTCTGGTCTGCTCCTTGCTCTCATTCCTCTGATTGTGCAGCCATTTGTAATCTGGGTCAGGGAATGGTTCCATCTAAAAAACTAATCTAGGAAAAAAACCCACCACCTTCCAGACAGATGAGTCCCTTGATCAGACTCATGATGCATCTATAGAACTGGCTCAAGGAGGGAAGAGTAAGGGAAGAAGAGCTTCATGGCTGCTGGTGGGCAAAGAAGGGAGAACTACTCTTGCCAGAGACAGCATAACCAAGATTAACTTAATTTATTGTGAGAATTCAGCTGTAACCCTTGAATTTATCCCAGAGAGTACAGGTCACCAGCAGGGATGAAAGCAGAATGTGATTTCTAAAATATTGAAGAAAAATAAGGTGTTGCACAACATGGACTAACAAGAAGCTCATTGGTGTGAACTCTTTCTCTACTTCCAGGAGCCTCCATGGTTTGTGGCTGTCTTGGTTAGACCTGTTGCTACTTGAGGGTTAATTAGTTTCCTTAGTAACAGAGCCAATATTCATGACCTTCTGTGTGGCTCAGGAGACTGCAAATAAAAGTAGCTGAAGGGAGGGTAAAAATATCTGAAAATGTTAATGAAGGATAGTGTAAAATTCATCAGTTCATCATTTCAAGTCATTTTGTATCCTGAAAGAATTAATAAATACTGATTTCCCAGTGGACTTGCAAAAAGCTTCTGTGGCATCTCAGTGCTGCAGCAGTGGGGACCTTTCTGAAGAATCTTTTAAATTTTTAAACTATGTAGATTTAATTTTCATTTTCAGAGCTTCCATCTTTGTTTTAAGTGAGAAAGAAGATTTTATTGCCTTATTTACTATTGTGTTGTTACTTCTGTGTCTTAAAAACACTGGAGGCATTTTGTCCTGAGAGGCAAAAATACCCAGCAAATGCTGACTAGATCATCAGGCTGGAATAGATAGGCTGGGAGAGTTGGGGTGTTGAGCCTGGAGAAGAGAAGGCTCCAGGGAGACCTTAGAGCAGCTTCCAGTGCCTGAAGGGGCTCCAGGAAAGCTGGGGAGGGACTTGGGACAAGGGCAGGGAGGGATGGGAGCAGGGGGAAGGGTTTCCAGCTGGCAGAGGGAGCTGGAGCTGAGATGTGAGGGAGAAATTCTGGGCTGTGAGGGTGGGGAGACCCTGCCCCAGGTTGGCCAGGGAAGCTGTGGCTGCCCCATCCCTGGCAGTGTTGAAGGGCAGGTTGGATGGGGCTTGGAGCAGCCTGGGCTGGTGGGAGGTGTCCCTGCCTGTGCAGGGCGGTTGGGACTGGATGATCTTTAAGGTCCTTCCCAACCCAAACCAGTCTGTGATTCTGTGTTTCTATGAGAATGAGCCACCAAAGCCACTCTGCCCCTACACCCCTGGGTGGATGAGGCTTGTGCAGCCTGGTTTGGTGGGAGGTGTCCCTGCTCATAGCAGGGAGGTTGGAACCTGATGATCTTTCAGGTCCCTTCCAACCTTCACCACTCTATGATTCTATGATCAGGAAGGAAGAAAAAGGTGGAGGATTCAAGATAAAAGACTCATATCATAGTATTTTTGAAGATCTATCCATCTGTATCTGAAGTTCCTTTAAAGGACTTTGTATTCCTCAGCAGTTCTGAGTTCCTTCAGTGAGTGACTTGTCACCAGTTACAGAAATTTCATTTATAGAATTAGTTGTTGGTAATTCTGCTGTCCATAAAGGAACTTTGAAATTTACTATGCACCATTAAATTCATTTAGAGCTTCATTTATAGGTGTTTAAATTAAATTTAACTATCCTGTTTCTGGAGATCAGCTCTTCTCGTGGACTGTGTGAAATAATTTATTTTAAAAAACTTGCCCCAAGGTTGTTTTTAATATGGACATTTTTAGGAAGATAGTAGCAGGGGGAAGATTGGTTGTGTGAGATGATGATAGGTTGTTAATTCTTGTTTTAATGAACTGCTGTGCAAGATCTTTTCCTCGTGTGTAGAGTAAAAATACTGGGAGAAAATAGATAAGTTCTTCTTTTGAGAAACTTCTAAAAGCAGAAGTATAATGGATTTCAGAGCTGATAACACTTTGTACTTGCATTAGCAGCTTTCATCCATGGAACTCAGAACTTTACAACTGTTAATGATATCTCACAGCAGTCCTGGGAAGTAGGAGTTACTGTTTGTATTTTACAAATGAGGAAGGGGACATTTATGCCAAAGCCTGGTTAATTCTGCTGGTGGGCACCAGGAATCCCACTGGGCTTCAGGGAGTCTCTGGAGGTTGGGCTCTACTCCTTGCTCAGTGTCCCAGTGAGTAGTTCCCTGACCCTGCCACCCAACCCACCAGTCTCAACTCTCATCTCCTCTGTTCTTAACACCAGATCTTCTGGCAGCTACAAACCAGTATGTCATGGCTGTACTGAGGGGCATCTGATGACTGTTGAAACTTGTTTTATCAAGGCTTTTGCTAAGAAAAATAACCACATTCACTCTATCAATATGCCCATGGATGGGATGTCTCTTTGCCTTTCATCTGCCACCTTTGTGTGTGACTTCTTAGGTTGTGAGCTCTTCTGCTTTGAGAAGACACACTGCAATCCAACCTTTCTTATGATTGGATTTCTGCAAAGACTGACACATGTCAACATTTATAAGAATATTTATGTGACTTAACTGCATTTTTAGATAAAATTTTCTAGACAGGTTAAATCCCCCTGTACAGAGATTTTCAAATTTGGGGGGAAAACTTGTTTTTTGAGGAAGTGGGTTAGGTGTGTCTTCAGCTTTCTGGCTCATGTTCCTGTTGGATTCCAGCAGTGGTGCAAGTCTTTGCATTCTGTTCACAGAAATTCAGATGAATAAGGGAAGAAAAGGTGCCCCAACATTCCAAGAACTCTGAGAAGGTTCAGACTTTAAGTAGGTTGACTGTGATCAGCTCAGAGGTCATAACAGTGCATATCAGAGCATCCATAACAAAATGAGCTCATTTACATATGGTCAAGCACCTCTTCCAAGCCCATTCAGTTTTTCCTATTTTTCATTTGCTTAACTATTTAAGGGGGGGTTAATTTGTTATGTCTGTGACCTACTTGGAAGGTCTGAAAGCTTTTTGGGAGCTGGGTAGTTGATACCCCTTAGAACTGTCACAGGTATCTTTTGCAAATCCAGAACTGTGCCAAAAAGCAGCTGGGGGTGGTTTCAAATGGGAATGGTAGGAGGATGTGTAGAGGGAGGTGTAGGTTGGGCATTAGGAAGAGATTCTTCCCCCAGAGGGTGGTGGAGCACTGGAAGAGGCTCCCCAGGGAAGCAGCAATGGCACCAAGCCTGACAACATCCAAGAAGCATTTGGACAACACCCTCAGGGACATGGTCTGAACTCTGGGGTTGTCCTGTTCTGGGGCAGGAGTTGGACTTGATGATCCAGACTGTCCAAGGAGGTGGTTGAGCCACCATCCCTGGAGACATCTAAGAAAACAGATGAGTTGCCAGGGGCCAGGGCTTAGTGGTAGATGTGGCAGAGTTGAGGTAAATGTGGAAGAGTTGGACTTCATGGTCTTGAAGGTCTTTTCCAACCAGAGTGACACTGTGATACTGTGAAATGAGCAGTTTCTTTCTGCTTGCTGTAAGCAAAGTGGTGTTCAGAACATATTTATTTTAAGAGTGTCTTTTCCACCCTAGGTTCAAGCAGACAGCTCTTACAGGAGCAAAGATTGTCACCTGGTGGAATCATCACTGGAACTGCTCAGTCTTCATCTGTCAATGAGTTCTTGGACTCTTCTGCCAAAATCTATCCTGGAGGCATCTTGGATAATCCTGCTGCACAACTGCACCCTGTGGTAAGGAGCAGAAATGAGAAGTTGTACTCAAAAAAATACATGTTGGTCAGACCTTTCTTCATCCAGAGAAAAATGGACCTTTGTTCTCTGGCTCTTTTGTTTCATTGTTCTCTACAACTACCTGAAGGGAGGTTGTAGTGAGGTGGGTGTTGGCCTCTTCTTCCTTGTGATTAGTGACAGGATATGGGGTCAAGTTGCACCAGGGGAGGTTCAGATTGGATATTAGGAAAAGTTCTTCACAGCAAGAGTGGTGAGGCCTTGGAAAAGGCTGCCCAGGGAGGTGGTGGAGGTGTCCCTGGAGGTCTTCCAAGACAGGTAGACATGGTGCTTTGGGAAATGGTTTAGTGGTCACAGGTATGTAGGACTGATGGTTGGACTTGATGATCTTGAAGGTCTTTTCCAACCTTAATGAGTGTATGATTCTATGATTCTATTATTTACTCGCTGGGTGAGGAGCTGACTGGTTGGTCACACTCAAAGAATGGTGATCAATGGCTCAATGTCCAGATGGAGACCTTTGATGAGTGGTGTTTCCCAAGGGTCAGTTCTTGGACCACGGCTGTTTAATATCTTGGTCAGCAACATGGACAGTGGAATTGAAGGCACCCTCAGCAGGTTTCCTGACACCAAAGTGTGTGGTGAGGTTGACATGCTGGAAGGGAGGGATGCCATCCAGAGCTGGGCTCCTGCAAACAGCATGAAGTTCAACAAGGCCATGTGCAAGGTCCTGCACTGGGCTGGGGCAATCCCAAGCACAAATACAGGTTGCGTGTAGAATGGATTGAAAACAGCCCTGAGGAGAAGGACTTGGGGGTGTTGGGTGAGGAGAAGCTCAACAGGAGCTGGCACCGTGTGCTGGAGCCCAGAAACCACCCTGTGTGTCCTGGGCTGTCACCAGCAGGGTGACCAGCAGGGCCAGGGAGGGGATTGTCCCCTCTGCTCTGCTCTGCTGAGACCCCCCTGCAGGGCTGGGGCCACCTCTGGGGTCCCCAACACCAGAAGGACATTGGAGAGAGGCCAGAGGAGGCCCCAGAGATGCTGGGAGGGCTGGAGCAGCTCTGCTCTGGAGACAGGCTGGGAGAGTTGGGGTGTTGAGCCTGGAGAAGAGAAGGCTCCAGGGAGACCTTAGAGCAGCTTCCAGTGCCTGAAGGGGCTCCAGGAAAGCTGGGGAGGGGCTTGGGACAAGGGCAGGGAGGGATGGGAGCAGGG